CTGCAAGTAAATATTTCAATGTTAGAAATGACTAAAATCACATTTTAGATACATCACGTGCTCTGACCTGAATTAGGGGGCTGAACTACATTTTCAAAAACCCATTTACATATTCTAACTCTTCTCAACAATTAAATGGTTAACAAATATTTAAATGATAAAAATTTCCTTAACTTTATAAAACAAATTATATTTAATATTATTTACATGATCCTTTAAAATTCATGTTTGTGATTCTTTTCTAAATCAAATAATCATATTTTAATTTCTAGGGGCAATGTACAAAAATATGAGAACACACAATGAAAACATGTTAAGAGAAATATATATGATCAAATCATCGCTAATCAGTTGCCTAGAAACTTTCAAGCAATAGATGCAAAAATATTAATGTCTGGACTCTTGTGATTTCATGGAAGTTAGAATACAGTTTTCCCAAACTACAAAAAGCTGACACACATGGTCTTTGTAACACCAAGAATGTTCCTCTAGCTTCCACAAGCAGACTCAGCCGAATCACTATAGAGCACAGAGCAACTTCTTCTGAAAAACATGTAGTATTTCCAGAGATGCTCACACAGTTAAAGCATTCACAGGGGAAACCTGTAGAAATGCCACAGACACGTGGGCATTTTCATATTTTTCAAGATGTAAATATAAAAAAATTGCATATCCCATTTATGCACAGATATGCTTTATGTTCTAAATTATAACTGCAGGGGCATCAAACCTACAAACAAGTAAATATCTTCCTTTAGGATATCTTCTTGGGTTTTTCCTAGGTCACCTGTCTAAAATACCAAGGGTTCAGCTTGTTTTCTTTTACTATTTTCAGAGCATCATATGTAGGGCAATCTGGAAGCCCACCTACTTTTTTGTGAGGCATGAAATCCACATGTACAAAGAGAAGGCTGTAGCACTGTGTAGAAACACCCACTGTTTGACAGTAGAACAAGGCTGTCCTCACCATAACCCAAGTTATGAAGAAATACATCTTATTGGTTTAAGTTTTCTAGAAAAGATTTACTAGCAGAATTCCTCTGCTTCCAAGTGTAACCCTCATCAGTAATCAGTTAGAGTTGGTTTACTCTAACATATCAAGCTCCAAATATTTATGAGTATTCAATATTATAAATCACTTGGCGGTTACTGCAGCTGTAATACTCCATGCCTGTAAATACATTTACTTTGCAGTTTCATTATTAAATTGTCAAGTCTTTGCTCATAAGACTGCATCTGGTTGAGTTATAGTGACCACCAGAGTGCCCACTATGTAGTACATATATTACTTTTGAGAGCAAATGAATGTACTATAGAAAGATATGGCAGTAGATATGATAAGCAAACTTTGAATACATTTTCAATGTATAACTATATACAATTTAATACATTTTTAAAATTTATTTTAAAAATTGATCTCCAGGGTGGCAAGATGGTTCAGTGGGTAAATACTTCCCTCCAACTTGATGATCTGAATTTAATCTCTGGTATCCACATGGTGCAAGTGAGACGTGACTCCTGCAAGTTGTCCTAGGATATTCACAAGTATACACTGTCATGAGTATAAACACACACACACACACACACACACACACACACACACACACACACACACACAATTTACAAAAATGTATTTCCAAACTACTTGTGTGTGTGTGTTTTTTACAAATTTAAGAAAATAATTACCATACGTGCCTTTGTTGGTCATTAAAAAGTTGAAGTAAATGACTGTTTTCTGAAATGTTTCCCACACATTACCTTGCTCCTGTGCAGCTGCTGGATTCAGGTGGGGCAGGGGAGAGGAACAGGCAGCCCTGAGCTGCTCCTAGGCTCACCCAGAGTCAGAGCTGCAGAAGCTGAGGCCATTCATCAGCTTTCACCAGCCTTGTTACACAAAACCATTAACATGACAAACTGTGGAGTCAGTTGTGTGCACTTAGACCATCAACTCATTTCTGAAAGGCTTTGTGTAGCATATATCCTACTTAGAGATTTAATGATTTTTTCTCTATATATTCCTATTTGATTTTTCCTTCCCCTAGGAACACTTTGAAGGAAAGCACCAGTGTGAAAGCATTTCAAAGAGAAAACTTTGAATTAAAAAAAATACCTTTCTAAAGTTTTCTAGGAGAAAGGGTCTTTAAGGTAAGGCATTTCCCTTACTCCCCTTGTGTTGTTCTCAACCCTAGAACACAGTGTTTACTTATCAAACATGAGTTCATTCCATGTGGTGAATAAAATCATTCCAGGGAAACTAATTCTAGGAAAATTATTTGAGACTGTGGGGAAATATAAGGAAATAAATAATTTTAAAAGTATTTTCTCCAATAGTTCAATTGTATTAAGTATAATGACCCTATTAAAACATTATGCTGGTCACAAGCTAACCATCTGATTTTAACTTCAAAAATAACCACCACTAAGTTTTATTCATATATTCTAGTAGTTTGAAATGGACAGGTAGATAGTAAATCTTACACTTTTACATTCTTATATTAGTTTGTAAAAGAGGTATCTAGAAAATTGTAGTAACTTTTGCAAATACTCAGAAAAACTATGAAAATATTCACTTTTAACAGTTAGCTTTTTAATAAGGGACATTAACAGCCTGTTACTTAAGAAAAACAGCACCAAAGAAAGGAGCCATTCATTACAATGTAAGGTTTGTCAGTTGCTTAAAACATTTAGGTAACAATGCAAGGGATGAAATACAACATACACATACATTATGCAAAGCACAAAGACAACAGATTAATGAAAAAACAGTTAAGGTACAATGCATTCACATTGGCTAATTACAAAAATGTAGTAATTCAATTAACAAGCATGGGTTATGATTCTTTTATTCCTTTTGTTATTACAACACAAGATTTCCTAGGACATGAAAAGTTAGGAATATTTTCATACTTTTTTCTAATACTTTAATAATGATTTTATACACTTTTTATTTTCCTTTAAAATAAAAAAGATTTAATGCCATTCATTCATGCATATACATATAAATTGCCTTAATTTTCTAACTGAATGAGCAGATCTATAGAAAGTAATGTTACTCATGAAAGAATACTAATCTAATCTGTTAGAAGAGGTATTCTGAAATTTGGCTAATAAGTAGCAATACTGAAAGAGGCAAAAAATATATATATATATATACCTGGTTTTGATAACAAAACTTCAGATCCCCTGAGTCCTTTTAATATAAAAGACTAATTGAAAAAATAAATATTCTTCATATAATAACAGAAATCCAGGCACTCTAATGATATATATCTTTACACATGGAAATAAATAGGTTTGTAAAAATTCTGGCATAAACATTTATTGAGATTTTTTAAATCTTCATTTTCAAATTATCAAAATATATAGATATCACAGTTCTCCTCTAGTGCAAAGACTAAAATTACTCAATTAACTGCTTTTGGAAGACTTTTGTAGTAAACACTAAGGATTTCTGTAATTCTCTCTTACTGTTTTGTAGTCTTAGGTATTCTGTTTTGAATGATTTTTTCCTATGAGGTTGAAAAGTTGCTTATACAGAGGACATAATGGACATCCATGTTTCTCACCTAGGACATAATTATTATACAAATGTATCACTGGAATATAGGGTCAGATATATTCCAGTGTAATACACAGATGCATGTGACGGCCATGGTGGACACTTTTAGGAGATATCAAACGGAAGCTCATGTGGACCTCACTGACACTGACTCCACATGAACACTGTAATTCTAATAGTCTATAACTTGAAGTAAATTTCTGTCCTCAACTTTAGACATGCTGTTCTGTCCATACACAGAACAGGTGCCAGCAGTGTTGTCTAAGAAATGGCCTGATGGTAACTACTCCAAGCGCTGTGGTTCATACAGTCCTCTCTGCCACTGTGGTGTAACATCTGCTACTGAGAGCAAAGGACAAATGAGGTGACTGAGCACCAATAAAGCATACCAAAACAGGCAGTGCACAGACCCCTGATGGAAAAAATCTACCTCAAAATCACTACACTTAGGTGTTTTGGTGTCTATCATGAAGCAGAGGCACAGGTAGATGTTTGAAACTTGTGCACTGAAGAATAGCACCACTGAAATAAAACATAAAAGCCACTACAGCACAGTCTCCAGTTAGTGACTAGATTTCTCCTCACTTGGAACAAAAATGGCTCGGGTTGTGAGTTTAGTTTTTAATACATCACTGTCAAAACCAGCTTTTTACTTGAAAGGTAATACTCATTTGCTCATGATCTAAAAACTCAAAGGTGATAAAATGCTAATTTTAATATACTTGTGCATTAATTAGACTTCAGATATTTGAAAAATATTAGAGAAAATAAACCATCCACAGGCACTATCTATGAGTTTTTTGTCTATGACTCAAAAAATGGAAAATTAAAATATTTCTAAACGATAGTAAGTCCACACAGTGGAAAAATGGATATTCATAATAAATTACTACATAAGTCATACTTCTCTATGATGTATTTAACAAACTAGGAACAATTTATGTAAGCTAATGTTTTTGCCTTTACTATTTTCACATTTCTAAATCAAACAGTCAATTTAACAGCAAGGAAATGAATTTTAAAAGACTGTTATTTGGTTTGGGATCAGTTATGGACAGTGACAGACAAAAGCCACATACAGTCATAAGCTCAAAGACGACATAGCCTTAGTCTGCCATAATTACAAGTAAAATGTTAACATTATGCACAAATCCAATTAATCAGAGGGGAGGTCAGAGATGCAATGAAGGAAAGCATTTCAATTATTAGTTCAAAATTCACATATAAAGTAAATACATATAAAACGATTACATACATGTATGTAATTACAGTACTTGAATGAATTCCTACTTAAATTATTGACTTTAATACACATGCCAGGACGGTCGATGGTTCACTGTGAGACACAGTAATCAAATGAGATATTATATGAATTTTCCCACTGACATAGAGGAAATTCACATAAAGGAACATGGTAACATGACAATGATTACTATCGTACCGATTTCCATGGTCCCCGATACCAGGACACATCATCAGGGCAGGCATGCACATGACACTGCATCATGCTAGGTGGCTTGGGCAGTTCACAGTTGTGTTCTTGTGCCATTTGGCCATCGGGAAACTGGCATATCACAAACCTTGATTTTATTCCTCCACCACATGTCTGTGTGCACTGAAAATAAAAACAGAAAAGTTTATACCCATTTAACTTCAAAGAGAATTTTATATCTCTTCCTTTTCTTCTATTGAGACCAGGGCTCATGTAATCCAGGCTGACCTGGCATTCCTTATGTAGATGAGGGTGACCTTCAACTCTGATCCTCCCATCCCCACTTACAGGTGTATAGCACACTCAGTTTATATGGTCCTGGGGGTCAAATCCACAGTTTCATACATACTAGGTAAGCACTCTGGAAACTGAGATGCATTCCTAAATTCTAAGAAGATTATATTTATTTACTCAACATTTAAATATCATCGGCAATGTTAGAGTTTAAAGTATATTTTTTAAAGGAATTTGATACATTTTAGTTGCCAGCTAAAGTATTCCTTTAAAGGATGATTTTTCAAATCCTTATGAAGAGAAATTATGTGCTAAAAACCATCCTGAAAAAGGAAAGTAAAACTAATTCAGTAATTTATACACTTAAAAGCATTGTGGAATATTCCTTTACACAGAGTGAAGATATGTCATTGTGATTGGTTTAATAAAAAACTAAGTGGCCAATAGCTAGGCAAGATTTTCGGGGCAGAGAGAATGCTGGGAAGAAGGTGGAGTCGCCAGCCAGGCATAGAAAAAGCAGGAAAGTTGCATGGGCAGTGTAAAGGAAATAAAGCCACAAGGCAGAAAGTAAATTAATAGAAATGGGTTAGTAATTTACAAGAGCTAGTTAGAAATAAGCCTAAGTTATCAACCAAGCTTTCATAATTAATAAGAAGTCTCCATGTGGTTATTTGGGAGCTGGCTGACAGAACAGAAAAATCCACCTACACAAAAGCATTAAGCAACTCTTCTTTCTCTTCCCATCCAAAACATGAGGGTAGGGGGCTGTTCATAGTGCAAGTTATCATTTCAGTTACCTTTACATTTAAGGTCCCTAAGAGTACGTGGGCATAAAGAAATGCCTAACAATTCACAACTATTTGGTTTAAAGGAGATTAGTCAAATGAATGACAACCAGTAGAATAAATCATGGTACAAATGCCAGCCTGGCTTTTTGTACCTGTATCAATCTAATTTCCTATGTAGTTTAAAAGGCTATGTAAGAAAGAGAGGCAGAACCCTCACCTAACACACACACACACACACACACACACACACACACACACACACACTGACTTGCACATCAGTTTTTGTTAAATTATACAGTGCACACTTTCTTGGGAATGCTCTCGTGGAACACTGGAGTGCTTCTTGCAAAAGTATTTTAAAAATCTGTTTCCACACAAAAGAGTGAGATCAGATCATCCCACGGTGATGACATTGTGGGACAGTATGACTTACTTCTCCCCAGTCCCCAAAATTCCAGTGTGGACAGGGTCCAGAGCCACATCGATTTGACTCAGGGGGCTTGGAGGCCACGTCACAGTAAGTAGCACTGCGGCCATCTTCATCCTGGCAGACCACAGCCCGGTGCTGCAGACCTCCTGCACAGCTTCGGGAGCACTGATGGGGACAGAATAGAAATACACACTGCACGCATGCTCGGCACATAAGGAAGGTGCTGCATGACACAAAGCAAGGTCAAAGGTAAAATCTCCCACATAGAGCCAGAATTGTAGGCAAGAAAATCTGTCAAAACACTTGACTTTTTACCAAGGGCTTCATTAGAAATTTTTGAAGAAAGTTTGGCATGGTAGCATATAAATGTAATTCCAGCACTCAGGAGGCAGAGGCAGGCATATCTATGTGAGTTCCAGGCCAGCCTGGTCTACATAGTGAGACCATGTCTTAAGAAAAATAAAAATTGTGGATGAACAGGAGGTCTTTCAAACTTGCATTAGTAAGTGATCCTTCCCTCTCAAAAGAGATGCTAAGTAACAAGAAATTCGAGTTTTCTGGCCTCACTGGGAGGGCATTTAAAAGAGTGACAAAAACATGTTGTCACTTGCCATTCACCCCACTTTTTCCCCTTAGTCTCTTCTAAAATGAGCACTCATGACCCCCACATTCTGAGGAGACCCACACAAACACACTCTCAGGACCCGGAACTAGCCTTCTTTCTGCATTGCTGTCTCAGCAAGTTTCTGTTTCTCCCAAACATTCAGTCTTACCTATCCCAGGGTTTGCCCTCTTGTATGACAGGGACTCAAATCAAGGGGCTTTCAAGTGGGTTCCTCTGTAATCATTGTGGCTAATGATTACCCTAGGGGTTTGTAATCTGCACCAACATGCTTTCAGTCTCTGAAAAACTGAGCTATTGATCTTTAGATAACATTCACTTTAAAAACATTTGATGGCCCTACACACATATCTGGGGAAGGACTGTAATATGATTCGGTTACAAAATAAATATAACTCAATAAAGACAGCTTACTGCTCCCCACGGGCCTGTTCTCCACTGGTTTCCTCTGATTGACAGGCGGACACCCCGATTGTGATTCTCTTCTGGTTTGTGAGTTAATGGGACATTTCTGCCTGGAAAATGGCTTGGCTGCTCAGAGGCGCTGGGGGAGTGGCTTCGTGAGGGTGGGCAGGCTGCCAGTCTGCATTCTTGTTCAGTCACAGGGCGGACTTCAGGGTCACAGTAACTCTCGTCAACTGGCTGGTGGTAGCTCATGCATAAAATGTGTCTAGTGGTTTTCCCATGTCCACAGGAAGCTGAACACTGATTGGAAAGTCAACCAGAATTACAATGTAATAAACTTCATGAATATCAAACATTATTAATTTACATTTTCAGTGCCTCCTTTCTCATAAGCATACTTACTGGTGACCAATTCCCAGCTCGCCACTCGCCACAAGGGCTGAAGCAGAGAGTCACTTCAGCAGGCCGGGGCAAGTGGGCACAGTGTGACTCGTCAGCCACTCCATCGTGGGCGTCGCGGCAGCTCACATAACGGGCCTGACTGCCTCTTCCACAGGACACAGAGCACTTTAAAAAGCCAAATGACAGTGAGATGAGTTCAGTACCCTCCACTCTGGTTACCTGTAGCTGCTCTGTCTCAAAATACCACGTTCACAGAGAAAGCAAAAAAGAAAAGTAATATTGCCTGGCAATGATTTCTGTGTCAGATATACATACAGCAATAAAATTCTCTGCTTTAGATAGTACGTTTTACAGGTCAGAGCTGATAATTTGAATGACTATAATATTTAACATAATATTTAATCACATGTCAAAATTAAAGGTACTGAAACACTGTGTGTAAAAGCATCATTCGTTTTCATGAAAAATAACCTTGAAAGACTTCATAATAGAAGGCATCTGAGCTCATAATTTAAAATCTGGGATTAAAGAAAACTGAAATGGCTAATCCATTATAGCTTTCAGTTAAAAAGCAAAACAGCATGAAAATGTCTTCGACTGAGACAGAAGCTCATAAATGCCTAATAACATATCCACTTCTCATAGCTGTCTGGGCCATGGGTCTTATCTTCATTTTACAGACTAGCAAGGGTATCCCAAAGGGTTACTTCTCTGCACAGAGACTCGGGCCCATTAAAAGGACAGTCGTGATTTTATCATTCCACAACCTAATTCTAAGCCCTGTAAATCTTTCATACCATCAAACACCCGAGAATGAAAGCACACATTAAAGCTGGCAAAACTGAGCAACTGTTTTACATGTGTGAAGCTATAGAACTGCCATGTCACTTACTGGGGTCCAAGATCCATGGCGCCACTGTGCTGCCTCTCCCAGGGGAATGGTTGGTAAGGAGGATGCCCCAACTTTTGGAACAACCAGGCAAGGTGCAACTATACATTCCTGTTCCGGAAAAATAAATCTTATTGGATGGCATTTAACTCTTCACTGACTTACACAAAATCTTGTACTGGGTTTCCTTTTTCACATACAGAATCAAACAATACTGCGTGCTAAAATAATGTAAATGGATGACCTAGGTTCTCACTTTCAGAGACACAAGCTGCTGGCAAGGGCTAGTACTGGGTACGAAGGAAGTGAGTGCTAGTACTGGGTAGGAAAGCTGCATTTCAATGTTTCTATCACCATCCTCTCTGACCATTGAAGGAACAAAGCCCTTCACAACAGTCCTAATATGGACCACTCTGAAGGATTGCCCCACTGTATAATGAAAAGAACACTTTTCTAAGTTCATGTGATTCACACTCAGAAACACCACAAAAGAATGGGAATGTACAAGTTAAAGCTAGATGGAGTTTACAATAAACACAGCATACCAAAACAAGAACCATGTGTTCTGTATGCAGAAAGTGTTTCAAGGCACAGAAGACAAGAATATGTATGTATGTATACATACATACAAACACACACATGCACACAAACATACACACACACACACACACACACACATGCACGCACGCACGCACGCACACACACACATAACCCTTCCATTTGGTAATTATTTCTGTTTCTGTTCCATGAAGAGACCTCCTTTACCTGTCTGTCACTTGGCCGACTGGCTTCCTGGCATTCTCTGTCATCTAGCATGGTGCCAAATACCTCACTGACACACTTAACAGCACGCATGTGATACCCATGTCCACAGGTGGCTGTGCACTGAAAGGAAACCACAGGTGCCAAAGATAGTTTTCAAGAGTTACATAATTTCCACTTTCTTAGTGAACATGAGTTACATATAGTTAAACATGTACTTTCAGTAGCTGTTTTGACTAGTCCTTGGTGTCATATTTGAGACCTGTAATTAATAAATTGGATTGACATGCCTATTTATTCAAATTCATTGTACAAGTACTACCTCAACACAGCATTTAACAAAGTGCACTATGATTCATGTATTTTAAAAGGCATCATGCTAAAATGTTAGTAGAGACCCGCTATGCTGGTTGTGGAGACAACACAATTCTGGCAACAAAACCCTGCCCGATAACATATGTTAAGTAGTTCCTTATCTATAAGGAAGCCTGCATTTAAGAAATTAGGGGAGCCTTCCATCTGCCTTGGCAGTCTCTATGCGACACTGAACTGCCCACCTTCACCTGGCCTAACCATCATTTACCCCAGGGCCTCCCGGTGAGAGTCCTAGACACAGTAAGAGCAATGAAAAGCACTGATACTGGACATGTTGATACACTCTTGAAGTTGATAAAAGCAAACATTTTCAACATTTTGGTTAAATTAAATTCAAAAACGAAGTTGAAATATTAAGCATGGCAAAGCTATCAGCAATGTCAAAATTTTACAGATAAAGGAAAACTGCATTTCAGAAAGAATTTTTCAATTATTATTGTATGTGTATATAGATGTGTATGTGTGTGAATATGTGTGCTTATGTGTATGTATGTGTATGTGTGTGCATGTTTGTATGTATGTATATGTATGGTTATTGTATTGTGTTTATGTGTCTATGTGTGTATATGTATGTGTATGCATGTGTCCTTAAATGTATGTGTGTTTATGTGTGTATGTGTATGCATGTGTATATATATATGTGTGTGTGTGTGTGTGTGTGTGTATGTGTACATGTGTGTATGTGTGTTTATGTGTGTACATATATGTGTGTATGCATGTATTTGTATATATATGTGTTTGTATGTGTATATGAGTGTGTATTTGTTTGTGGATGTGTGTACACATATATATGCCATCACACGTGTGTGGTCATCAGACAGTTTTGTGGAGTCGTTTTCCCTCTCCAACTCTTTGAGAGTTCCAGGGATCAAACTCAGAATATCAAGCTTCAATATCAAGTGCCTTTACCCACTGAGCCATTGTGCCAGCTCCCAAGATGCACTAGTGATACCAACGCATACGTCAGTGAATCTCCTAAGAAGACAGTAGACTTTTACATAATTTCCTCTCATTCTCTGTACAGATGTGTAAAGGCAGAGAAGCCCCCATCATATACTCACAGAACCCCATGGGCCTACATGCCAAGAAGCACACGCACGGAGCTCACAGGGTCTCAGCGACTCGGGCTTGGTACTGGCGTTACAGAAGCCATCGCTCATGCGATCTTCACTCAGCTGACACCAAACCTGCCGCTGCTTCATCCCCTTTCCACACGTGGCAGGACACTGGGAAGTTAACACAGCTGCATCACAAAGTGACACAAAGTTCCAGAGTGTTTCCTCCTACTCCTCTGGAGTCATTCACTGGTTAAAACCAACTGCACCTAACATCTGCCACTCAGGTCCTGTTGTACGATATTTCCATCCCATTCTAACAATAAAGCTGGCTTTGACTCAGAGGGTGGAGCTAGCCGCTAGCCGACCAAAGTTAACCATAGAGGTTTTGGAGGACTGAGGACAATAGAGAGACAGGAAGTAGTGAGGAGGGGCTTAGAGAGGATCTCAGTTCTTTTGGATGGTGGAACAGAAGAGATAGGGAGTCACTAGTCGCTTCTCTACGCACGCACGCACGCACGCACGCACGCACGCACGCACACACACACATAACCCTTCCATTTGGTAAGCACACACACACACACACACATGCACGCACGCACGCACGCACACACACACATAACCCTTCCATTTGGTAATTATTTCTGTTTCTGTTCCATGAAGAGACCTCCTTTACCTGTCTGTCACTTGGCCGACTGGCTTCCTGGCATTCTCTGTCATCTAGCATGGTGCCAAATACCTCACTGACACACTTAACAGCACGCATGTGATACCCATGTCCACAGGTGGCTGTGCACTGAAAGGAAACCACAGGTGCCAAAGATAGTTTTCAAGAGTTACATAATTTCCACTTTCTTAGTGAACATGAGTTACATATAGTTAAACATGTACTTTCAGTAGCTGTTTTGACTAGTCCTTGGTGTCATATTTGAGACCTGTAATTAATAAATTGGATTGACATGCCTATTTATTCAAATTCATTGTACAAGTACTACCTCAACACAGCATTTAACAAAGTGCACTATGATTCTGAGACCTGTAATTAATAAATTGGATTGACATGCCTATTTATTCAAATTCATTGTACAGGTACTACCTCAACACGGCATTAACAAAGTGCACTATGATTGATGTATTTTAAAAGGCATCATGCTAAAATGTTAGTAGAGACCCGCTATGCTGGTTGTGGAGACAACACAATTCTGGCAACAAAACCCTGCCCAATGACATATGTTAAGTAGTTCCTTATCTATAAGGAAGCCTGCATTTAAGAAATTAGGGGAGCCTTCCATCTGCCTTGGCAGTCTCTATGCGACACTGAACTGCCCACCTTCACCTGGCCTAACCATCATTTACCCCAGGGCCTCCCGGTGAGAGTCCTAGACACAGTAAGAGCAATGTAAGCACTGATACTGGACATGTTGATACACTCTTGAAGTTGATAAAAGCAAACATTTTCAACATTTTGGTTGAATTAAATTCAAAAACGAAGTTGAAATATTAAGCATGGCAAAGCTATCAGCAATGTCAAAATTTTACAGATAAAGGAAAACTGCATTTCAGAAAGAATTTTTCAATTATTATTGTATGTGTATATAGATGTGTATGTGTGTGAATATGTGTGCTTATGTGTATGTATGTGTATGTGTGTGCATGTTTGTATGTATGTATATGTATGGTTATTGTATTGTGTTTATGTGTCTATGTGTGTATATGTATGTGTATGCATGTGTCCTTAAATGTATGTGTGTTTATGTGTGTATGTGTATGCATGTGTATATATATATGTGTGTGTGTGTGTGTGTGTGTGTATGTGTACATGTGTGTATGTGTGTTTATGTGTGTATGTGTATGCATGTGTATATATATATATGTGTGTGTGTGTGTGTGTGTGTGTACATGTGTGTATGTGTGTTTATGTGTGTACATATATGTGTGTATGCATGTATTTGTATATATATGTGTTTGTATGTGTATATGAGTGTGTATTTGTTTGTGGATGTGTGTACACATATATATGCCATCACACGTGTGTGGTCATCAGACAGTTTTGTGGAGTCGTTTTCCCTCTCCAACTCTTTGAGAGTTCCAGGGATCAAACTCAGAATATCAAGCTTCAATATCAAGTGCCTTTACCCACTGAGCCATTGTGCCAGCTCCCAAGATGCACTAGTGATACCAACGCATACGTCAGTGAATCTCCTAAGAAGACAGTAGACTTTTACATAATTTCCTCTCATTCTCTGTACAGATGTGTAAAGGCAGAGAAGCCCCCATCATATACTCACAGAACCCCATGGGCCTACATGCCAAGAAGCACACGCACGGAGCTCACAGGGTCTCAGCGACTCGGGCTTGGTACTGGCGTTACAGAAGCCATCGCTCATGCGATCTTCACTCAGCTGACACCAAACCTGCCGCTGCTTCATCCCCTTTCCACACGTGGCAGGACACTGGGAAGTTAACACAGCTGCATCACAAAGTGACACAAAGTTCCAGAGTGTTTCCTCCTACTCCTCTGGAGTCATTCACTGGTTAAAACCAACTGCACCTAACATCTGCCACTCAGGTCCTGTTGTACGATATTTCCATCCCATTCTAACAATAAAGCTGGCTTTGACTCAGAGGGTGGAGCTAGCCGCTAGCCGACCAAAGTTAACCATAGAGGTTTTGGAGGACTGAGGACAATAGAGAGACAGGAAGTAGTGAGGAGGGGCTTAGAGAGGATCTCAGTTCTTTTGGATGGTGGAACAGAAGAGATAGGGAGTCACTAGTCGCTTCTCTACTCCTCTTATCGTTCAGGCTCTTACCCGATGTTTGGCTCCCGATTTTTTATTGATAAAGAATAATTAGATAAATGCATCAAGGTCCCATTGAAATATCCATTTGTTCTAGAAACAGAGATCCAAAGCTAACCTTTGAAGAAGTGTGTGCCCAGCAATGCTTTGCACTACTGCTTTTAATGAAGGTGGTTATATCAGTAAACGTTATTGCTGGCCTGATAATTATAAATAGTACAATTATAAATAGTACAAGAACTAGACAGTTTTACATTGTTCTTTTACTGCTTTTATGATTAAGTACATTTGAAGATCACAGTCTTGGACTGTAATTTTCCCTAGCATGACATTACAGCAGTTTTTCTAAGCCACGTGTTTAATGTTACCTCACTCCACTCACTAGTAGCCCAACTGGGACAAGGAAACTCATTGCAATTCCCAAGCATCACCGGCGGAAGCTCTTGGCACTCTCGCTCATCAAGGCGGTGGCCAAAGCCATTGACACAGTAGGACTCTCGAGTCTTCTCCCCTCCTCCACAACTCCTAGAACACTAATTAAAGACAAAACAAAATCAGGGACTCTTAGAAATAGAAAAAAGAAATCAAAATTTTAACAAAACATATTTTTAGAGAAAGAGGGATTTAATTGGTGAAAAGAGAGGCATTTTGTTTTTCTTAAGTGACAATTTTTATTTTACCTGGGACCATTCTGAATAATGCCACCGTGTTAAAACACAGCTGCCATGGCATGGCTCTCGGGTAGGAGGTTTGAGCTGCTCAGCACAGTAGCGGTCTTCTACTGGGACAGTCTGTCCTTTATGAATGGAATACTTCATGCAGTGAACGTCTAGGGTCCTGTATCCCTGGCCACACTGGGATGAGCATTCACTTTTGCCAGTGATGTGCCACCTAGAGAGAAGATGTTACTCCGTTTAGGAGTGGTGCTTATGAATATTGATTTAAAAGATTCATATGCATGCACACTCACACAAACACCTACGAAATGGTGAATTTAGGGTGGAAGTACTAACTTGCTTGCACTTCCCTTATTAATTGTATTAATGTATTAATACAATTCTAATGTATCAGGGAACTCAATCTATATTTTTCATTCTCAAATATTATTTACAGGGTCCTAATTTCAGTGGAAATTACAGACTCATGCTACATGGACCTAATATTTCAAATCTATAAACCATGGATTTCCAGATTTGAGTTTTTCTGGATTTACTTTATGGACTAAATTGCTTCCAGATTGTACGCAAAATTTGAGGTCCTACACACTAGTACTTAGCTAATACTCTTAATTCAAAAGTGAAATGATTTACTGAGCATGAGTACAAATTAGTGATCTCGAAATGTTCTAAATAACAAGGCAGAGGACAGATATTAACAACCTGCTGGCTCCATGAGAAGCACTGTGCTGAATGTCTTATCTAATGATAGTTCACCTTCATAACACAATGGTTACATCATAAATGACTTCTCTTTTACCTGAGTTCACAGTCTGCATTGCACTTTTCAGTCACAAACAATGGCAGTGGTAAGTGGCCACAGCTTTGATCTGATACAACTGCATGGTCACTCTTCCGTATGCAGACAATTTTTCTTCTATGAAGACCTTAGTCAGAATGAAATGAAAATTAAAAGTTAGAGAAAAATTTACACAAGTTAGGTGTTTCATAATTATAATAATTAGCCTAAATGATTCATGTTGGAAAGCAGAAATTTTTTATATTATTTACAGGCCACTAGTACATTAGTCTTGTCAGGAATTCCTTTTTATAAGCTGAATCCTCAATGGCTGGGAAGGACTTTGCTCCTCGAGGAGGCCAAAAGGAAGACGGGCCAGGTAAGAAGTAACCCTATTAGTCTTGTCAGGAATTCCTTTTTATAAGCTGAATCCTCAATGGCTGGGGAGGACTTTGCTCCTCGAGGAGGCCAAAAGGAAGATGGGCCAGGTAAGAAGTAACCCTTCATCAGTGGGGGTTGGAAGGTAGAGCTGGGGCCAGCATGGATGTCGTGTTACCACTAGATCATTGTCCCCGTGGATTACTTCCTCATATGTACTGTTACAGTGTTATGACAACTTCCATACTAGGTGGTATGACACTTATGTGAACTGACTAGAGGGGATATGACCTACGATAGTTCCAACAAGCTCTTTTTCTTTCACTCTGGCTTCAGAATAGCACTGTCCATATACAGTCAACCTTTCAGACTCACATCATGAATGAAAAAGTTAATTACAAGCAACACTAAGATTAGTAGTTTCACAGGTTTGGGCTGACAGGACAGGGGATGGGGATGAGTAAAGCTGTGAAATTCCTCTGTATGACAGTGAAATGTGGAAACACATCACCATTTATTTGCCCAAATCCACAGAATTCACAGCATGAAGAATGAATGAACTCTAGTGCAAACTATAGGCATCAGATGGTCATTAAGGATCAGAACTAGACTGTCAGTTATACACACATGCCAACAGACACAAACACTCATAGCAGAGCAGTAAAGAGGAAGATGGGGGGTGTAGGGTGCGGAGACAGGGATATCCAGCTCTTCTGTACTTCTACTGCTTGCTGGGACTAGAGCTACTCTAAAAGTAAGGTCTGGTTTTGTTTTCATGGCATGGAAGGAGATCTTAGTTACAAAGAACAAAGCTGTTTCTCTATAGTATGACCACAGTCAAAGCAAACTAATGCTTGGATTCAGGGCACCCTGAATCCATATCCTTTTCAGGAGTTGAAGCTGTCCCTGACATTATCAAATTTCTGTTTTGTGAACACTCAACTTTGAACTCTCAGTTAATTAAACACAAACGTGTTTATCTCACATGTATTCTAAACCCTTTTTAAAATAAATATATATAGTTTTTTAAAGCATAAATGTAAAGGAGCAAAAGAAAAGAAATGAGACAGAAAAAAGAGAAAATTGTGGAGATGAAAAATGAATGATAAAAGCTATTATCTGAGCCAAGGAGGATGAATTCAACCTTGTGAATGTATGAGGGGTAGGTATGAAAAACAAAGAATGGATTAAAAGTCATATTTGAACAACAGGTAAAGTACTCCTCCTCCAGCTACCAGTGTAGACTGAGCCATGAATGTCACTTAGCACTTCCTCTAACTACAGTTAAACATAAAGTCATTAATTTTAATGATACTTATATTTAACTCTAAGTGTATAAAGTTTGATTATTTGAACAAATATAATATAATATAAAGTTAATTAAACTGTATTTAGCTTTCTATTCATTTTAATCTTCAAAATCTAGTGGATAGTTCACACATATAGCACATTGAAACAGAGTGATCCTATATGGCTGCCATACTGTGGCTCTAGAGAAGACAGAGCACAGAAAAGATAGGTCACACAGGTTGGAAAATGGGTTGATTAGGAAAGAAGCTCTCACACAAGGTGACTTCCCAGCCCACTGCACTCTCCATTTCCACTGAATCCAAGTCAATTCCATTTTCCCCTCATCCCACCATGACCATGGAAGCCAGGAGATTTTCTCTTGGAGGTTTATTCCCCAAGAAAGAATGATTAACTGACTTTTGGGTCTTCTCCCAGTGATTTGTGTGATGTGGAAAGCAATTTTAGTTCTTAATATTAAAAAGCACTAACAGAGATTTCTGAAAGCCTCAAACATAGGAGATCCAAGGAAACAAGTGAGGAGCAAACAGGCTTGCCTATAGCTACCAAACAAAAAGGCCAAAGACAAGACGCTATAGGTTCTAATTTAAGAGGTTTTTGCCTTCAAACAATACAAATGTTAGAAAGGCAAAAAAAAAAAAAAACTGGTGAGAAAATCATGAATAAAAACCAAGATTCTATTTCCAAAAAGATTGACATACTTTACAGGAAAAAATGACAAGAAAGACCACTACATCAGGGGACCCATGTAAGTAGCTAAGAAAGACCCTGTGGATGTGTATTGTTGTTAAGAACCAATGCATGAGAGCCCTGAAAATTGGCAAAGCCTTCCTCTGGTCCATGTGCAGATGTTGACAGAGTGTACTTAAAGCACAGACTGAAGCTTCCTCCTGCCCTGGTATTTACAGCCCGAGACTGTTCCACTACAGAGACCTCCCTAGGATACTAGTGACACTCCTTTACATGCTGTACATACTAAACATGCTGAAGCTCCCAGCTGATGAATAGTTGATGCTACTCCATCAGAGACAGCATGTCTCCACCCAATCCCAGCTTTTCAGCACATATGTCTGTATCTATCCTTCCTTCATTTCTCCATTTTCCCAGTCGGATTTCTAGAAGCAAGCCAGGCAGCAGGGCAAAGCAGTACACCCCATTCTCGGACATCATTACAACTGAGGAAAAGATACATAAGCTTCAAGAATGAAGAATGCCTGAATCAAGCACAGGGAAGTAAAGGGAAAGCTAAAGAGAAAGCCAAAGGGCAAGGCCTTCGTGCATCTAAAGAAAAGTCATCTATCTAGAATTCACACCGGGTAAAGAATTGGGCAAGTATGATAATTGAACAGCGATATTTCAGAGATGGTATGTCTCCCCCAAACTACCTTTCCTTCTCCATAACATACTGAGGTCTATTTCTGATAATGATGAAGGTAAGTATAAAAGAGGACTCACAAGATTAAAGAAAAACTTAAGCGAATTCCCAGAATATTATTGAAGTGGTACCTAAATGGGACAGTTACAAAATGAGCCTAAAAGAACACAAATTCATCAGCACAAGAACGAAGAGAAATACTGCAAAAATAAAGAAGAAATAACACCAAAAAAATAACTAAGAAAATTCCAAAACAAAATGCACAGCTGTTCTAAAGCCTTGAGTAATAATTACTTTCAGAATGCAGAATGAACAAGTAGCAAGTCTCAGAGTTACAGAGAGCAGAGAATCTAATCATAATATTTACTGGCAAAAAGTAATAGTTCCCATTTTCCTACTTATAGACTCTCAGAAACTACTCTTTTCATGGGGTGGCTGCTGAATTCTAGAATCTTTCTTCATTCACCTTGGTTGTTGTCCCATGTCCACAGCCACAGTCCATGTCCATTAGATATGTTAACATATCCAATGTAGGATGGCTATTCCCACATCTTCAAACTCCATTTGTCTTCTACAAAGTTTACCCAAGGCCTCTTTATCAAAATGACTCCTTGAACTTCCCCCATGCACTGGCTGGATTTTTGTGAACTCCACACAAGCTAGAGTCATCTGAGAGAGGGAACCTTGACTGAGAAAATGCCTCATAAGGTTGGCTTTCGGGCAAGAGTGCGGGATGTACACTTAATCAATGATTGGACCAGGAGACCCCACCCCATTGTGGGTGGTGCCTTTCCTTCCCAAGTTGTTTTTGGTCATGATGTTTTATCACCTAATAGAAACCCTAAGGCACCCAATATTGCCAGTGCACTGTTTCTCCTCTAGCATTTATCCCAGGTGATCTGGTGTCACCTGTTACTGTGTCTGCTCTAAGAGCCCAACCCACACAAAGACAGGAACATCATTTCCTGCAGTCATCCTGAGCAGCTCTGTCCCACTGCCAAGGTACAAAGGCAATCCCTTTTCCTGCAGGGCACCACTGCTCCTTTGATGCCTGTCAATGAATGAGTGGATAATCCTCATTATCTAGGGCCACCACCTCTGGCCACCCACCTTTGCTCATCTGCATATTGTTCTGAGCTTCCTCCCTCTAACCCACTGTTCCCCTTCATGCTCCATTCCATACAAACTTTATACATCAGTTTCCACACTGTAACCCCCCCACACAGTATCTGGGGAATCTCCTTGCATATCCATGGCACTGCATTTACATGAAGATACCTACTTACTCGTGGGCTAAATCTAAAGACAAAATTTGGCTCTTAACAATAATCTGAATCAAAACAGTCCCTCAACAGACAGAGATTGCCTGTAGTGAACACATTATATCATAAACCATCCATGATTACAGACCACACCATGATGCCACACTTTCC